CCAATTTCATACCTCCCAACAAGCCAGAAACACGACCCTTCTGCCTCCAAAAACCCCCTTGTACACAAAATCCCTGTTTTGCTGCAAAACAGGGCAAGCTCTGCAAACTTGAAGCCATAACCAAATTCCATCGTGCGTTTTGTCCCAAGATACTTCAAACACCTTCCTATCAACTCATCTGAACTATCCCAGGCCTCCATTACAAGCTGTAACACCATTAACACCCTTTGCCATTTTTGTTTCAAAGCTTTACAGGTGGAGTTCTGTGGCACTATTCAAGTTGTTTCAGAACAAGCCAAGTAGTGGAAAAGCTTCCTTGGACCTCAGGCAAGCTCAAAAGAAGCTCAAACACCATTGAAGGTTGCTACATTGCCCAGCTCGAGTCAACTGAAACAGGTATTTCATGGACTTCTATCTCTCTATCTAGGAATGGTTAGGCTTAGGTTTGTGAATGAAATATGTTGTACTCATAGCCCTGGAGCCATACATATGCTTAGTTTTCATTTACAATAATCGTGCTAAGAGAATTTCACTCATGAACTTTCTGAAAAAACTAGGTTAGAAATTAGGGCCATAGAAATTCTCTCTGGTCTTTGAGAGTTAGCTTAAGTTTTTTATATGTTTGAATTCGTTGTTTAATGCTCTACAATATTCATGTTATGAGTTTTGTAAAAAAATCAAAGAATCAGGAGTTACAGTTTTGTACATAGCACGCGCGCAGGTTTGTTCCAAGGAAGAAGAAGAAGTGGATTCTGGGCTGGGTCTGGTTTCCTTTGCTTTTGACACCCCTTTATTCAGTTTACACCCCCCTGGCCCATTTGTTTGAATATTTGTCATTTTGATGTTTTTATTTTTTATTCTGACTTAATTATTTTTTGTCTAAATATAAATAATGCCAAAAAATTATTTTCTATATTTTTCATATTTATTTGATATTTATTTTTATCTCACTAGTATAAATATGTTAAGTAGTTTATTTTTCTTTTATTAAAATTCAAAGAATAATGTAAAAAATATTTTATTTTTTATTTTTTATTTTTTATTTTTACACTTGAAAATATTTTCTTGAAATATACACATTTTTGTAAATAATTAATTTTTATTTATATATATATATATATATATATATATATATATATATATATATATATATATATATATATATATATATATATATATATATATATATATATATATATATATATATATATATATATATATATATATATATATATATATATATATATATATATATATATATATATATATATATATATATATATATATATATATATATATATATATATATATATATATATATATATATATATATATATATATATATATATATATATATATATATATATATATATATACTTATATATTTCATTTTATAAATAGGTCAAAAAAAATACAAAAATACTATATTTTCATTTTTATTAATATTTTGCACTAAAAATATCATTTTTACAATATACTTTTTTTTTTGTATAAATCAATATATTATGGTATATAATTAATAAATAATACTATTTATTTGAGAATTAGGGTTTTGCCCTAAATAACAAAAATAATTAGAATTGACCTTTTTTTATTTATTTATATTTCACTTTGAAAAATACTTTCTACATACATGAAAATCTATTTTTGCATAATACATTTTATTTGATATTTATTTAATTGTATTTATTTAAATATTAATTATTGCCTTATACATTCAATATGGTTGTAATAACTTAGGGTTGTAAATATTAAATATTGCCTTATACATTCTTGTCAAATACTCCCAATTCAAATTTGTACCCCCCTCCCTATATCATGTTGTAATAGTGTAACATTTAAATTCCCGCACATTTAAAAGCCTCCAATTATGCCATGCTTAGACTTAGGGTTTGTATGCAAAATAAAATCAACAACTAGCTTGACCCAATCCAAGATAAACATGCATGAAAAACAAACACAATGCACACTTGCACCCCTAAGGTTTCACTCCACTTGTTGTCTTCAAAAATGGGCCATGGTTGCATGTCAAGTACTTGGGCAAAACAAAAACAAAAGAAAAGATCATAGTCCCTCGATGACGCTATCTGAGTTGCCTAAACAAAAATGATCAAGTCCCTCAAGAAAATTGCCAAAAATACTTGACACTATTGCTATCATGGCCTATACGATGACCCGCGCCTGTCCCATTTAACATCCTAACACAAGGTTGTTCACCAAATACAATGGTGAATCAACATTGTTAAAAGGGTTAAAAACATAAGAAAGATCTTTGAGTAAAATAGGGTAGACCAACTCTTAGTTACTTGATCAAGCTTGCAAAAACATCCTTGTTATTTTTCAAAACACACTTCACAACACAATTTCAAAACCCGACTTTCAAACATTAAAAACTTTTCAAAAGACAAAAACACCTTTGTATATATTCAAACAAGAATCATTACAAAGATTTCCACAACGATGACCTCTTTTCAAAACATCTTTCAAAATCACATACAAAGCACCATTTCAAACAATTGAAAAGCAAAGCAAGTGATCTAAGCAAGTAACTAAGAGCCCATGGATAACCATGGATATAAAGGGTGATAATACCTTCCCTTTCTATAATCTACTCCCCAAACTCAAGAAAACATCTCAAAGGTCTTTCCTGTGCTTTTTGACCTTTCCTTAGGATAAAATAAAAAGTCGGTGGCGACTCTTGCTAAACTGAAACATTTGCGAACACAAACGCAAAATCCCAAGTCATTTCTCCCACCGTATCACAGTAAGGATCGCCCCCAAGGTATGTACTAAAGGTTTAATCACAGTTGTAAAACTAGGTTCTAAAAGTTACCAGAGTCTATGATCCTACTTCGTATATTACCAACGTCCTGATTACCCGGTAATTAGCAATATTCTCAAGAGAAACTCGTCTGAGTGCAGCATCACGTGATAACTACTTTCGGATTACTCTGTTATAGTCTTTATACTACACCTAAGAGGCTTAGATGGGTTAAGGGTCCTACGGTTCTCAGATTCTCTGTCTCTCAGGTCGAAAGCGGCAATGTCTTCCCGATAACTTGGTAAACAAATACTACAGTCAAAGGGGCTTCCACTGAGTGGGGGATTTCATGTCTCCTTCTTCAGGATTACTCCCTCAAAGTTAACATGATTATACCACCCGTCCTATTCTTAAGTATAACTCAGTCCGGGTATAGGACTTGTCCTTTGTAAGTATCATCAACACCCAAATAACCATAATATATAACATATAATCAAATAAACAAATAAAAACATATATGACAAATTAGGCTTAACCCACTTAAGGATGGACCACCAAGAGGTCAATCTTCCCCAGCAGAGTCGCTAATTCTGTAGCGATAAAAAATGTAGCGGTGTAAATCGGAGATCGAGCTATTCATTAACTCAACTCGCAAAAGCAAGAGTCACCACCACGCTTTATTATTTCCAAGGGAAAAGGGAAAAGAGCGAAATAAAACCCTTAAATATGTAATGTAAATTAATACTTAAAAGTAATGAAAATACAATACGTTTTTGAAAGAGATTTAAGATTTGGGGGTTGGTTATACAAAGGGAAGGTACTAGCACCCAATGCATCTGCGGTACTCTGCAGGAACCTTTTGAAATATCTGTTTTTTTGGTTTAAATTGTTTGTTTGGCTAAAATGGGTGTGACTGAGATTTTGAAGATATGACGACCTAGTGTCGAAGTTTTGACTTAAAAGGTGTGAGTTTTAAAATTGAGTCTTTTAAAAGAATTAACTTAAGATTAAAAAAATAGTAAAACAAAAATGAATGAAGGGATTTGCACAATCGTATAAGATGTATTTGATGACATGAAATAAACAAAGTTAAAACATTTCCCTTGAAATTTAGACGAACGAAAGATATAAAGATTAAATAATCGAGAACAAAGTTAATTAGAATGACAATTGAACAATTAAATATCAAAAATTAAATAAAAGACTAATTTATAAAAACAAGTATTTTTGATCAATTAAATAAATAACAAAATTAAATAAAATACTAATTTATAAAGCATGTATTTTTTGATCAATTAAATAAAAGACTAATTTATAAAGCATGTATTTTTGAATAATTAAATAAATAACCAAAATTAAATAAAAGACTAATTTAATAGCATGTATTTTTTATTTTATAATGGTAAGAAATAATTATATATATATAATAACTAAACTAATATATTGTTATCAAATACTTAATAAAATTGGGAAATAAGACTAAAAGAACTAAAAACAAAATAAAATGCTCCATCAAGGGGTAGACTCGGGTCCCTTAGGTTACAACAGACATGCCTCGCCATTGAGCTACATTTTTCATCTGTTATGACTATGTTTTAATTAAAATAAAAGGCAATAATGATAATGTGATTGGGCCAACAGGCCCATTGGACCGACCCGGTTGAGAAGAGGCAAGGAAGGGTTTTGAAAACCCTAAACATAAGGAAAGGCTCCGAATTTGTCTTTATTGGGAAGAGGAAAGGTCAGATTTAATCATCATCATTTCCAATAAGACTCTACTTCCTATGCCTACCGTGAAAAAACAAAAATTAAAACTCTCTCTACCCTATTCACAAATCTTCATCTTTCTATCCTTGTAATATCTCAACAATCCCTAGCTCTCTGCTTTCTAAGAAATAAAGTCCTAAAAGGTTTCCTCTTCGACTTTTCTGAACCACCACCACCACCGCTTCTTCCCTGGTTCTAGAGGCAACCTATGATATGAAGGATTATTAAACGAAGCAGCGATAACAAATACCGTTCCCGCAATTATCAAGTTTCCAACAACAATTCCTTCGATGATCTGTCACTGTGTATCGGTGAGTGAGATAGAGAAGGCGCTAGGAATAGATGGAGAAGAAGCACCGGTTGATTGAGGAATAAAAGTAGCGGTTAAAGATACAATATTAAACAAGTCGTGAAAAGTAATGGTGGTTCCTGGCGTAGTTGACGGTTGACGAAGAGTAACATTACCAATAACTCATGAAGCAGTTAGAACACATAAACCAATGTTTCTACGATGACTAAACTCAGCAACCGCTTGAACGAAGTCATTTCCTACAGAAACTTCTAGAATAAAAGGACTCATAGAAGGTTCAGGATCGCGTGTTATGATTACAGGAGGTCTAGGCCTGTTTTTAGATCCAGGGGGACATCTAGGCCACCTGACAACCTCAATGGTAGCTCCGTCGCCAGAAGAGTTCAGTTTCTGAGCGGCTGCGCCACTGCTGGAATGGTTGTCGTCTTCACCGACTATTTGACATTCGTGATGGGGGAGCTGGAAAGGAAGAAATGGATTGTTTTCTGACCGTGACTGTAAGTGGTGAAGCTTTCAATGTTGATCTATGTATTCTCTTTTCATTGTTTGTTAAACAAATGAAAATGAATTTTATGTTTATTGATCCCCAGAGTTTGGATTTAAATGGATAATATATTGCAGTAGTTGATGTAAAATAGATAAAGAAAATAATTAAATAAAGGATGAAGGGAGTTTGAGAGGAAATAGTGGTGTGGTGAGATGAGGCGATTTTCTGTATGAGATTTGTATGTTCAAAAAAGATTTGAAGGTATATTTTTTATCTTTGTATTTTTGTGTCATTTTCTATACATTTTTGCCAGTGCTTATTATTACTATTATTCTAACATATCTAAATGTTTACAAAATGCAGCAACTCCAGAACACAGCAAAGTGGTAAATCAAACATTCATGTGGCATAAAAAAGTGATGCAAAAAGAAGATTCAAGCATGAAAGTGATGATACTGATGGATATATGTGAATATTATGCAGAAGTAATAGGGAGAAGAACTACCTATCAGAGTCTCTCCAGTGGAGCATCAAAAGTAGTAAGTTCTCCCTCCCTCTCTTGTTGATTCTCAAACTCCTTTGACTCTGATTATTTGCTTGTAATTCTTGAAAAAGTTCCTCCTTTTTTCTGTTGTTTTTTCTCCCTTTTTTCTGTCCATGAAGATGGCCTTTTATAGTGAAATATATAGTGTTTTAGGGGAGAAAAGTGAGACATTTAAACAGTTATGAATGCCCTATTTCAATGATTTTTTCATACGATTTTGGGTTTCCATTTTAGTGCAATTTCTTGGTTGTTATGATGTAAGGCAACAGTGTGTAGCAAACTGGTTTATAGTAGTTTTTTGGCAGCATCTGGACTGTTGTAGGCTGCTATTTTTTGGACTGATTTGTAGCATTTTTTTTGTGGAATTTGGACTGGTATTGGCTGCTATTTTGGACAGCAAAAGTACCACAAAAATTGGACTGGTTTGTGTTATTTTGGCATGTTTTTATTGGCTCTTAAAACTCTTTTGCATTGCTGAAATTTTTTGCTAATCACACACTTGTTTTCTTTTTCACTAGGTGATGAAGAAAATATGAAGATTGGAAGATGGAGATTTGATAATGAAGGCATGGAGAATTTGAGACACCTTGAACATGAAGTCTTTAGGCATAGAAACTTGAAGAATTTCTTTTGTGATTGTAACTTGAAACTTTATTGAATGTAACTTGGGCATTGACTTGTATAATTTGCAAATGAATGAAACAATGGTTACTTGGAACTTTAAAATTGTATTTTTTTTATGTGTCTTGCAAATTGAATGAGAACCTTTGAATGATGTTGAACTTTTATCAATTTGAAATCAATAGACTTGAATTCGGATTTTTTAACTTTGAAACATGAAGTGGATTATAGCTTTTAATTTCACTTTGAATATTATGAACATGATCTCTTGATTTTGAATCTTGAGAGTGATTTTTGGATAAAAGACTTGAGAAATTGATGAACATCTTGATTTCCAAGCAGCATGTAGAATTGATGTGCTTTATGTTTTAATTTGAACATTGACTTGGAACTTCCAAACTCATGAAAGCAATAATTTCCTTCCATATTTTGAATTATGAATGAAGTTGAATCCATGGATTTTACATGATATCTTGAAAATTAATCACGGTTCCTGACTTGAATAATCACAAGGATACCATTTGAAGAAATTATAGCGTCATGAATCATAATTCAGAGTGGTCAAGAAACTTCTAATCCAGAAAATGTCCTATAAAGTTTCAATAAATTCCATATCATTCTAAACATAAATTTGCTCTTGACCTCCTGAATTTGAACTTGTAAACGTTGACTTTTGGTTAATGTGATTTGAATCAATCTACAAACTTGATCCTCCCTTACATTCCCAGGCACATTGATGGATATGCGAACCAATGATGATGAAATCTTGACTGTGCTTTGAGGAAGTTTTGGAGAAGCTTGAGACCACTTGTCGAACAGAGTGTGTGAAATAAACACACGATTCTCTGAAAGTTCCTCGATACAAGCTACCACACTTGAAACATCCGTGATCAAAATGAGCCTGAACGATGTTCCAGACTCCATACTCTGAGATTAGAAATTGTGCCTTGATGAATCAGTCTTCAAGAATCAATGATCAATTGTACTTCTGGCTTGAGAGACTCAAAACCCTAATTGAGGCGTGACGCCTGATGCTCTTGATTCAGACCTGTTTCTGCACATGAAATCAAAGAAAACGGAAAAAATACACTTCGTGCTTGATTAGAAGTTAGTCATGGATAAGATAAAATGTTCACAACACTCGATAATATCTGCACAGGCAATGCTCGAAGGTGAAACATTTGAAACTGGCCATATTTCATGACCTTGATGTATATAACAAAAAATGCAAATGAAGATGGGATCTTAAGTAAAAAATTAGGGTATGATGATAACCTTGAACCTTTAGAACTTAAAATCTTTGGAATCTTCAGACGTACCTTCTTTAGAATCTTTAGCACTTGGTTCTTTAAGAATCATTATCTTTAGAACCTTGGATCTTTAGAAACACAAAGTCTTCAGCATCTAGAATTCAGTAAAACCATTGTCTTCAGATCTTTTAACTTTGTCTTCTTTGAAACAAGTTATCTTTTAGAAACTAAGTTTATAACATCTGGTATTCAGTAGAAACTTTGTCTTCAGATCTTCTAACTTTGTTTTCTTGGAACACACTGTCTTTAGAAACTTGAGTATTTAGCATCTGGACTTTAGTAGATACTTGAGTCTTCGGATCTTCTGACTGTTTACTTAGAACACGTTATATTTAGAAGCTTGAGTCTTCAGCATCTGGGCATAAGTAGAAACTTTTGTCTCCAGATCTTTTGACTTTTTTGTTAGAACACGTTGTCTTCTGAAACACGAGTCTTCAGCATCTGGACTTAAGTAGCAACTTTTGTCTTTAAATCTTCTGACTGGTTTCTTTAGACAAACATCAGAGCTTACACTTCAGAGCCTTCTAGAGTTTCTACTGTTCAAAAGAACTTGTGCAACATAAAAGAGAAACTAATTCTCTTCTAATGTCTTGACCACTCCATCCATCAAAAGCAGAACTTGTTTGTTAAGTACTCAACAATAAAAAACATTAGAGTATCAAAATAGTTCGTAGAAACATTCTCATTTGTTATCATCAAAACTCAGAAATTTTATTGCAAAACTAAATCGTGTTCTAACAGATGATATCCCACTCATTTGGCATGCTTTAGAGAGCCAAAGAACCTTTGTTGAACTTCCACCATAACTCATAATTTCGCAACTTCGAATTCAATTCTAAAGCATCTTTTAACCCAATTTCTTTGTTGATTCTTCATCCTTGAACTTCACTAAAGGTAACAGAATAAAAACCAAGCCTTGAGGTGCCCTGAATCGTGCTAGCCAAGTCAAGTTTCAGAGCTCTGAATTTGAACTTAAACAAGTAGATTCCTCCATCAATTCTCTCCAAACTTGTTGCTACAATGTAGCTCTCATTACTCTGATACTGATTGCATCATTAGTTTTTAACTGGAAGTGATATTTACTCATGAATTTTCAAATCCCTTTGCAACTTCTTTCTTTTGGTTTTCTTCAAATCGACGGAGCTACAAGTTAAATAAATTTTTCGCGAGGGTACAGTTGTCTTCGTCTTGATGAAACAAATCGAATGGCACTGATATGAACCTCTAATTTTTCCGTTTGAGGAACCTGTAAATCGCGTGTTTTGGTTGACTTTGTCAATAATCTGAAGGTTGAAGGCAATGACATGGATCTCTTCAACCAATCAGAGCCCCATGCGTGGCTTGTTTTATCTATTTTTAAAATAAAGGATCTTGTGTGTTATTCAGTAATGACCATATCATGTACAACACACCAGATCCCTTGGATTTTATTACTAACATGTTTTGACATTTGTTGTACCCTAGAATTTTCCCTCTTATTTTTCTTCAAGACATTCTCATGAGGTTCTCATTTTCTCAATTTGGATCAACAATTAATCAGACAAATTCTCCTTCTAAGCAATGAGTCCACAATTAGGGTTTTGTTTTTCATAAGAAAGAGTGGGTTCTCAAGATATTAAGTGGTTTTCATGGTTCTTCATAGGTCTTTAAGAATGCTCATGTCAAGTTTCAAACTTTACATCACAAGTTTTCTCAGTCAATGGCTCAGATGAATGAAAATCAATTGTATTGGGTAAAAAGTCAATTGTGATCAACATACAGTTAAACCTCAATATTTTTTATCAACATCAACAATTTTAAGTGATATTCATCATTTGATCAATGGTTGACCATGATTCCTCAAGAAAAGCCCTCAAATCATCAAAGGTCAAGAGTTGCTAAATTAGGGTTTTCCTTAGGAGAAGTCAACTGAACTTTGACCAAGCATAACTTTCACATGCTTCATCATATTTTCTCCAACAAAATCCTATTTTGAAGGGAATTCAATTCTCTACAACTTTGTCTCTCTAAGCCCAAGTCCAAAAAATGCTTCATTTGAGTGATATGGGCCAATACATTATAGGTCATTTCAAAAGTCAACAAAAATACACTTTTTATCAAGGCAACTTACATCAAGATAAAGTCTTAAAAAGAAAAAATGATAAACATAAAGGTTGTAGTGGACATCTTGAGCTTTCCAAAAAGTCAAAGATCACCTTCAAAAGATGAAAATTTAGTGAGTTGTGACAATTTCAAGTTGGGAAATTTTGGTAGAATGCATGAAGACCAAATTGAGCAAGCTTGATATTTTGGACTATTGGGCCATGGGTTAAGAGTTCAAACATGTATTATACTCTTCATACACTTCAGAATTAATTCATACACCGTTTGGACTTGTTTTATTTTAATTATTTTTATTATTTTTGATTTAATTCATTAATAGTATAAAATAAAATAAGATAAAAGTATATCTTACTACAAGAGTCCAAGCCCTTCATTTGGTTACCCTAAATTTCTCTATATATTCAGACATCAAAGAGAAAACCAAAGACACGAAACCTTTGCCTCTAAATATTGTCAAAAAATAGCAAACTTTTCTCAAGAACCCTAAGTCTTGAAATCCTTGTTACAAGCCCTCTCACTTTGAAATCTTCATTCCATTCACTTCCAGGAACATTGAAGAGTAAGTTTCAATCGGTTACCATGATTCAAAGGGCCTTAATCATGCATATAGGCTATGGAAGATTCTTGATTTTATCATTCATATATTTTTAATTTCATGCATTGCTGAGTGTTTCTAACCATCTAAATCAACTTATATGTATGTTCATAACAGGTTGCAGTCGCTACATGGAGTTTTTGACGTCCAGATCCTGATTTGCCATTCTTAAACCGAGTTAAGATTTTTACTTTGAAACTTATGATACAAGGACTTTTAGCCAAAACTAAGCCCATATTTGGATTCAGGAGGGTCGGATTAGGGTGGATAGGATGTTTTGGATCACTAACTATTTAAATTTGCAGGTTTTGATTAACACAGGTCACCGGAGAAGACGATCGGATCTAGGGTTTCGGCGCCTCTCTGGTCAATGCTTGCTGGCTTATATTATATATTTATAGTTTCAATGATATAAACTAATGAAACAGTCACCCTAGTTGCAGAAGCTCACGCGATAAACATTAGTCTCAAAGGGCATGGGTTTGATCTAGTCCTTTGACGTTTTGTTTCTTTAATTTCTCATATTTTTGCAGGTTGATTACAAAGCGTGTTAGAGGTATATCCTGGACACAAGCGCATGCTTGGCCTCATGGTATGCATGTTACATGATGGCCTTGAGGGTGTGGATTCAACACCCACCCCTACTGGTTTATTTTTTTACTTTAATTCTCTAACCCTTTCACTCGTTCCTTTTCTTCATTCTTTACAAACCTTTTTCAAAAACCCTTTTTTCCTAATAAAACCTTAATCAACTTAACTCAATTTTAGGTTTTAATTTTAGGTTTTCTTAATTTGATTAGTTTTAGGTTTTATTTAATTAACCGTAATTTAGCTTTAGATTTTATTAATAAACCCTAATTTGATTTTTTAGGTTTTCTCAATTAAATTAAAATAAACCTAGACTTTAGGGTTTGCTTAATTTAATCACTTAACCTTTTTGA